ATATAACTTTTACCCGAGAACGTTGAGTTCATGAGCTGTCTTTTTACTGGGCATAGAAGAAGAGTTACTCTATTTAACCAGAATTCTGGCGGAGTGTATTTGCTAGAGATGCATACAGTAGATCTACTAGATTTCACTAAGACGTTTGATATTAATAAAGAAACTGTCTACGCTGCCATCGAGACTGTAGTTTTTGAACACTCGTGCCTGCACATATTGTAGGTCATTCATTGCGACGTTCATACGTATGATACGAGCACGTATGCAGAAAACTTGCGTACGTAGTGTTAATATTTGCCGTACTAGGTCACGTTGACAGTTGTTTTTCAACTAGGTAGTGGGCAAAGTGCTGATCACTGCAAGTTTGTGTAATTTCTGCAGAGCTGGCGCCTCTTATTTCTTCATGAGAGGAGACCATTGTAGCCCCCTTCATAAGAAAATGTCAACCTACAGAACACTTAGCCTCCTTCGCAGACTTGTAGGGTGAAACTGCCTCTCCCCGGCATATTACTCGCGTCGGTCACCGGAAAAAAAAAACAACGCCGCCGCCCTACAAGTCTGCGAAGGAGACCACAGAAGTCAGACCACTCGACATTTAAATTGAAATGATATCTTGACATATATAGAATAGGATTGGCCTATCCACGGCTGCACAATGTGCACGTAGTGCCGGCGCACTGAGTTTTTGGGTAGAACTAGCTAATGTTAACTACTACAAGTTAGGATGTGTACATACAAGTGGGTAGCTTGACACATTGTTTTTCTGTCTTCTTTCCTCTGTCTAAGTCTCTGTACCGTTGAAAAAATTGTTAAAACTCTTGTTTCTCCTCTCTAGTTATCCTTTTATGATATAGTTACACTCCAATTAAAAACGGGACTGTACAAAAAGCATAACATGGTCTGTGCTGCCATAGTTCGAATTACCCCTCCCTGGTAGCCTCTGACAGGCTTCGGGACGGGACTAGAAAGAGAGGCAAACTGAGGCGGACCACCTTCCCTGGCATTAATATAATCAGCTGTCTATCTGGCCAATTTCGAATATCTCTCTAGCCGCTTCCCGAAGCCTGGTAGAGGCTACCATACCAGAACCATGTGACCCGAAGAGGCCACAGAAGGTGGAATAATCCTTTCCAGACGTCGGACTAGTTTGTGTATGATAATATCTAAAAGCATACATATTAGTGTCTCCCTTTTGTTATACATTGTTTATGAAGCAGACCAGATTCCTATTACAGTTAGTAGAACTGCTAGATATTCTCAACACCACCATATGTATATGTTAACACCACAAACTATGTATGTATCATTTTGCCATACGTTGTACCCGCTACATCTGTTGCGCAATAAAGTTCTTCTTCTTCTGTCATACGCCATACGTTCATATTCCTGTAGTAATACTAGTAGCCTCTTAGAATAGACTTAATTGTATTGATCACATTGTCATCCATGCCATACATTGTACCGTGTACAACTGTCGAGCAATAAAGTTCATTCATATATAGCTGGTATATCTACTTGTCTTTCCCCACCTACACGAAGCGACATATTCGGCATAAAATTTCAATAGCAAGCCCCGTACATTATATTTGTACTATGAACCGGTGAACCGCCAGTTTTGAACATTTCTGTTAGTTTAAGCTGGGTAAGACCGGACTGTAAGGTTTTGAACCACTCACACCGGGAAGGTCCCCTACTCTTTTCGATATGTGCGGTGGGTTCTTTAACGTGCGTGGGGTATGGCTCTCCCCAAACACGGGACCTCCATTTAATGTCCTATCCGAGGGACGTCTCTAGCCGAAGCTAGGTACTCATTTCCACCCAAGTGAAGTGAGGAAAGTCGTGTTAAAAAGTGCCTTTCCCAAGGGCACAAGATCGGTGACATCGGTAGGACTCGAACCCGAGACCTCTTGGTCCTGAGCCGAACACGCTACCGCCACACGACCACAAAACACTCCGTGTTATTCAGAATACAAAGTTATGACAAATCGCAGTACATGTCTAACATATATTATAGTATTATATATACCATTTATTAATGGATGGTCCTTCTGGCGAACACCATCATAATTTTTTTTCAAATGTGGAGTTTGGAACGTGTATGTTCAGTCGCAGCATAAACTGCACTTTTGCCAAATGAATGTACGTGTTGGCTCAAACAATCCCTCAAACCAAAGTTCACCTAGCCTGTGTTTCACGTGGTTCACAAACTCTTTGGACTTTGGCTTTAACCCTACATCATATGACCCGTTCTGTGATTGCGTAACACTGACATACTGTGTGTGGGTCTTAGATTCGCAATCTGTTATCCACCTTAAACAAACCCACGCGAAGGCCACCGTGTCAACCCTCCTCACTCAGGTGTAGGGACTGACACGGTCATCCTACTCGGAAAGTCTGTATCTGTATATCTGTACATGAATCTGTACCTGTGCATGAATATGCATCTGTACATGAATCTGTATCTGTGCACGAATATGCATCTGTATATGAATCTGTATCTCATTGCAAATATTCAGAAGATCTCGAGTGATTGTCATAGACATACCGTAAATTACGATTTTTCGAGGTACTTTTATATACATTTTTTATTTACTTCATATTCACCACAAAACAAGGCTCATGAGAGCTTCTCAAAGTTTTGGGTTACTGTACAAGACAGTGAGGACAGATGTTTGTTGGCCTTTGAATTGAAATATACCCGTTTGGGAAACCATCACTAAGCTAAGTAAAACGTTGAACTTTATTCCAACACACAATTTACAGAGAGATCTCGTGTGAATAAGGTCACGTGTTTGTAAACGGTAACTCTCGCGAGATCACGTTGTGAAGTGATTGGTCATTAATTATCCTGATGAAAGCGATGGTCGCTGAAAATTTGATCTCTCTGTAAATTGTGTGTTGGAATGAAGTTCAACGTGTTACTATGATTACTACCAACACAGACGAACTTTCATGATCATCACTAAGCTTGTTTATACTCGTGGTTTTTGCTGTCACTTCTGTACCGCCACTTTATCATTACCACGAAGAAATAATTCGGCGACTTTCTTTCTTCTTCACCTGCTGCCGCAAATATATAGTTCCGCGAACATGTCCTTTTCCATGTCCCAGGCCGAAGTTGCATGGACAGCAAAACTTTCAATCAACACATAAGATATAATAGAACCGCGGAAAGTCCCACCAAACAATACCCGGGGAAATTTCTGATTGTGCTAACGCCCGCCCTTTCAGCACATAACGTTACCTTTGTTGTGATTGGCTGATGGCCATTTAGGCCTTGAAAGAGGTGACATGGTGACGTTGTATTTAAAGGGCCGGGCCCTCATATTTCATATTCAAGCCAACCTGCGACAGATAGACACAATACGCTGTTGCCTCCTGCTCTGAGTTCATAGCGACCTCGAGGTAAGTTTCTGGAACCCACCATATTTGAGTGGCCCAGTCGTTCATACTTTGGTGAAGGATATTGGAATGGTAAAACTCATCTTGAAAATTCGTCCGTTACTTCTGATTGTTAACTCTCCTTTCTTGTTTGCTGTGGATCAACTCTACTTCTGGTATGAGAAAAATCATTTAGGATCATTCAGTTTTGGCTTAAAGTAATTCTTACAACAGGTTTCCCCAACAAAAGATGACAAAATTCTCCTTCTTGGCGATCAGTTGTACATTATATGTAGGTATTCGGGCAGAATATTAAGTTCCTCTTTCACTTTCGCACAAAAAAAAGTCCGGGTGCGGGGAAAGTCCTGCATGCATAATATACTACCAAACCGTAACAGTCAACACTCTACTAGTACATGTACTAGCTGTCACAGTGTAAGTTGTATAATATTTCGTGATATGATATTTACTTCAGACAGGAGGGGATCTTTTAGATAGAAAAGCATATGAATCATGTAAGGGGAAACATTGGAAGGTAAAGTACAAAGTGCATTCGAGGCAACAGGGACGTCAGGTGGTACCCCTTGGTTTTCCCCAGGGGAATACCGAAGGGAAGTACCTGACGGGGCGAAAATTCCCGGGCCCTTCTGGTACTTTTGATGTAACAGCATTGAGAGTCTTCATTGCCATTGGACGATAGACAATAGAGATCTAGAGACTTTAGGTTTTTGTTTCAGCCAGCAGACAATCAGAGACCCTAAGCAAAGGACGACGTGCGGTGCATCCCGTATCAGCCACGTATTGTTGACTGCTCGAGGGAGAAAGTGAGTCAGAGTTCTTTCAGTTTCGTAAGCTGCGAAGCATTGAAATACTAGTACATGTATAGGTATTGAACAGGTATACGATTTTCTTACGCCGAACAATCTACCACAAGATTTACTAAATAAACTTACATGTACATTGTACTTCAAATTGACTCTGTGGATCTATCGCACGGCAGGTGTGCTGAAGGTTGCATTTGTTGTTTCGGTCGATCCACTGAGAGACGCAAACACCGACCGTCAACACCCTAGCCTGTGTTTCACTTTTGGGAGACACACCCGGTAAGTGGTAGGGTCTCTTTAGTTTTTCTTGATTCCAAAAATATGTGTTGTCTTTTCTTTTTCTTTTTCCTACGTCAATGTACGCAGTATATATACTAACATATGTTTGTACAATTGACTGATTTGTGGGTTGATAAGCTTGGCAAAGTTTCTGACGAAACCGGAACTTCCTTATGGGAAGTCCCGTGGGGGAATACCCATGTTTTGATGAAGGTTGCGGTAAACCAAGGACTATCAGAGCTTGTAAAACGTCCTTGGGCAAACCAAAGAGCTTAAAAATTTCTGATTTCTTTTTACAAAATCTGATCTTAAGCTCCCACAGTAGAAGACTTCAAAACAGATATGTCGTACATTGCAATTGGAATTCTTGAATTCACGGATTCAATGTTTGCCCATTCCAAGCCATTAGCAAGCCATGCCCATAATTACTAGTACATGTATCATATTCTTAATCTTCTAATGTTGTAATAATGATGACTATGACCAACTCGTATACGTTTTCTGTTTGCAGGTCGAAGATTTGACTCAGAGCCTGGCGAACAAGTACTTTGGTATCCAGAATAGAGAGCCGCTGGAATAGAAAATGAGTGGGCTAGATCTTGTCAAACACACGGGGGGTGTTGTGACATGTAAAGCAGTGGAAACTGCGTTGGATAGTGCTTCGATAGTTATGTCCAATCCAAACATGATCACAGATGTCGCGCTTAGCGGGGCACTGAAAGAAGGTGCCGAGGAAACTGTAAAGAAGAAGGGCTTTGAAGCTATTCAGTACATATTTGAACCCCTGAAGGAAAGCCCGATTGGTACTGCCGGAGCTTTAACTGTGGTATTTGAAGGGATACCCTTCGTTGTGGATAGTTCAGAGGCAGTTTACAGGCTCTTGCATGGGGCTATTAACCGGAAAGATTGTGCTAAATTGGTGGTTAAGAGAGGCACTCAGGCCGTGTGCTCTGGGGCGGGTTCGATGCTGGGTGCGAGTATCGGCCAGATGGTTATCCCCATGCCGTTCGTGGGTGCAGTGGTGGGAGGCACGGTCGGTAACTTACTGGGCAGGTGCACCGCCAGGGGGATGTGGTAGAATCGCGGGGTCGTGTGGCGTAACGTCAGAGCATTCGGCTCAGAACCAAGAGGTCCCGGGTTCGAATCCTACCATGTCACCAACCTTGTGCCCTTGGGAAAGGCACTTTACACGACTTTCCTCACTTCGCTCAGGTGAAAATGAGTACGGAATATGCCAGAATGATCATTATCATGATCGTGGCATTAAAAGAAAACAAAACAAAAAAAAGTTAATCTGAGTTGGTAAAATACATGACGAAAAAAGAAAATGCAATTTTCCTACCAGTGATATTCACTCACCTGTAGCGCTACAAATCTAAAAAAAACATTCAAATTGACATATCCTATCATCAAGGCATCTTATCATTTTCATCTACAATGTGAATAACAGGAAAATAATCAATATGTAACTACGGAACTCCAGTGCCCTGTTCATACACGATTGTAGACAATATTTGCGGAAAGGCTGTAGGACTCGGGAGCTATAATAGGTTTGGTAACCAGGCTAACACGATTGTAAACCTCCTTGTTAAAATAAAACAAACGAAAAAATCCTTAGAGTTAGACTTGGGCCTAGCACCTAGACCAGTAGCCTCTACAAGGCTTCGGGAGGCGGGTGGAAAGAGTAGAAATCGGCCAAATAAGAGAGATAGCATGCCGGGGGAGTTGGTATGCTGGTGCTCTCCCGAAGCCTGGTAGAGGCTACTAGACCAGTAGAGGCCCAAAACGCTCTTGGCCACAGAAGTAATACAGTAATACAGTAGAGGCTACTAGACCAGTAGAGGCCCAAAACATCCATACTCTCACTGTATATACCATAAACTGGAAGTGACTCATATCTGGTAAGTGCTATGACGTACATTTGTAAATTGGTTCTGAAATGTATACTTACGTAATTACTCGTACATACACGGTGTGCTTTTGAAGTAGGTTTTGCTTGTTTATTTTACCTGTCATAAGTGACAATTTTTAAGAAAACGTCTCAATTAATGATTATCAAAAACAGCTTAATTACCATTGCAACTTACTGAAATTTATGCACTTGGATAAGAAATATGTAAACAATGCAGTGCTGCAAGAACACTGGAACATCAGCATGAATTGGGTATATAATGCCAATTTGATTTAGATGCGGTAGGTGCCAAATGCTGGGCTGCTGGTGTTCGTAAGACACTAGAGGAAAGCGGTTTTGCCTATGTTTGGCATTCGTCCTTGTCTTCTACCTTTAATTTGCCCCAAATTATATCTTCCATCAACCTTAAGGACATGTATATCCAATCTTTCATATCAGAAATGCAACAACAAATTACGGACATACAGATTATTAAAAAATACCTACCACGACGAAAACTATCTGAAAATTACAAACGTTCGACACAGAGCAGCCATCACAAAACTCCGGATAAGTTCACACAAACTCCACATAGAAAAAGGCAGACACAACCGCATTCCTCTAGAGCAAAGGATTTGCCAATTTTGCGATTTAGATAAGATTGAGGATGAGTATCATTTCGTAGTTGATTGTACGTTATATAGTAATGAGAGAGATTTCCTATATTCTTATATAATGGATAAGTTCCCCAGCTTTGGACATTTAAATGAATCAGAAAAATTCATATTTCTTATGAAACTTGACAAACCATGTATCACTAGTTACACACACACATGATAAAATCTATTACAGTAGAGTTTATAAGTGTTAAGAAGTTTGCATTGCTGAATAAAATACTTATTAAGATTACGAATTCGTATGTAAAACAGTGGTCATAAAGACGGTTACTAAACAAAACGTGTTGTTAAAGCATGACAGTTACCCCTCAATGACTGGAAGGTCGTTTACCGAGTACGCTCGATTACTTATGTTACTCCCCTTCTTAGCCCCTTTTGAAGGCAACAATGATTTCTTCGATTGATTGGAGGAGACTTTTATCATCAATTACCGAGCAATTACCTCGAATATGTTCCAGAGCCAGTGATTTAATTTCTGGTTCATTGTACATGTCAGGCGTTTGAGCGAGGAAGTCAAGAAGCAGCGATCCTGTCTCTGAGTCTTCCTTAACACACTCTGTGACGTTGACGCTTGTTTCATACTCCGACGTGACGTAACTGATGTCCATTGCGTCAAGACACTGTTTGACGTCACCCGAATGACGAAGTGACGTCTTCAAACGGTCACCTTGGACGAAAGTCTCCGTCAGCTTGTGCCACAGTTTTGCCCAACCATTTTCCTCTGTGTGAATATGAAAAGTTTATTGCAAATTTGTGCCCGGAGGCTAATTGCAAATTACAAAACATAAGAGAACAATGAAATACAGTATAAAATAACTAAAGTCTACATGATAAAGGTAGTTGTCTAGAACTATAACTATGTCTAAAACTATGTCTGAAGGATTGACTTCTCTTCTGTAAACCATGCAAGACGTAATTATAACGTCCCACCTTTTCCACAATTTGTGGGTTTTGGGAAGTTAAAAGAATAGTCTTTTCTTGGTCTGTAAGTTTAGCGAAATTGGGATAAATTGTAGAAGTTTGAATAGTCAACTCATTTCGAGCGTTGTTAGGGAATGAACAGTTTGAGATAAAATGTATTTCGTCTTCCACAGCCTTTGCACTACAATATTTCCAAATTATTTCACATACAGGTAGTCTTCTATACCGACCTCTTCTCTATTTCCAGAGGATGGGCGCTAACTTTAATTTTACCAGTAACGTTCTATGTTGTACATGGTTTTACATTTTGCATGAAATCTTAACTTACCACTATCAGTATATAATATGTAACGGGAAGTATGAGAAATACAGATTTGAGAACTTTTTTTGAGAAACGGAAACAAACATTTTTGAGGTTTATTCAGTATCAAGAACTGCTTGCGCTTCAGGCTTAGGCCACAGCAAGTAATTTTTATGGATGACATCACCACGCGCATTAATTTTCGCCTGATTTTGGAAAAAAAAAATTGTTGCCTTCTGACAGTGGTCAACATGCCGAAAATGGGCAAAGATGTCTGTTGCCATGCCGGAACGTGGATGGCAGATAACTATGACGAGAGGAGACAAGAAAATGCTCTGATTTAATGTTTTGTTTCTTACTTTGATGCAATGATATGTGGTGATGGCTGTGTATATGTGATGTTCCCACCGAATAAAAGCCATTCGTACAATGATTGAGCCAAAATTTTATAATGTAGGAACCTTGCTTTTTTTGGCCCGCCTTGTTTTTTTCGCCCGCTCGCATTAGATTTGGAGTCTGCTGAGGATGTCATCCATAAAATTTACTTGCTGTGCCTTATCTCAACTCACCTGACTCCATGGCAACAAACATGTAGCCACCGTCTGCTAGCTGTTCCCACATGTTCCGCAAGGTGGCGTGCAGGTCTTCCACATGGTACAGAACGTGTATCGCATGGATCAGGTGGAACTTTGTGTCATCCTTTGTCATGAAGTACTCCTCTACTGTCTGCTGGCGCCAGTCAAACTTCACAGCACCGAGGCTCGTGTCTTCACGGACCAATGACTGTGGAATATACTCATTATATTTCACTTCATACCATATATTCATTGTTTATTTATTTGTTTATTTACCATTTGCACGTATATTAAAAAATTACACAATCAAATAATAACAATCAAAGAATATGCGGGGTAGGCCAGAAACGTAGGTGGTTTTTTAAAGGGCCTACCCCAAACAAAGGTAACTTATGACAAAACGTATTTGAATTAAACATCAAAATTAAACAATGAAATAATTCGTTAATTAAACAAAATCAAGACACAGAAATAATAACTGAAGTGTGTAAACTATTATTTCTGTGTCTTGATTAAAAAGAAATATTTAAAAAGAAATTAAACAAAAGTCTTATACATGTATATATAAGTCTTTCCCGTCGACACTTATTATTTCACTTGTCTAGCAATGTGTGGTAATATGTAGGGAAACTGGTGAAGAAGTATGAAATAAGCGTGCACCTTAGGCCACTGCAAGTAAGTTTTATGGATGATATCCTCCGCAGACTCTAAATCTAATGCGAGCGGGCGAAAAAAACAATGTTTCTTTTAGTGGGAACATCACACATACACAGCCAGCATCACATATCACTGCATCAAAGTAAGAAACAAAACATTAAATCAGAGCCTTTTCTTGTCTCCTCTCTTCATATCTATCTGCCATCCATCTTCCGACATGGCAACAGACATCTTTGCCCATTTTCGGCATGTTGACCACTGTCAGAAGGCAAGATTTTTTTTTCAAAGTCAGGCGAAAAGTAATGCGTGCGCTGATGTCATCCATAAAAATTACTTGCTGTGGCCTTAACAAGTGATTCCCACGTTTAAAAAGTTAAAACTTTTCGTCCAACACAAAAAAAATACTCTCACCTAGAGCTTTCGACCAGTCACTCTGGTCTTCCTTTTTGTGCTGGACCAAAAGTTTTAACTTTAAACATGTAACTACCAACACAGATGAACTTTCATGAAAGAGATTCCCACCTTGTATCGCTCGATCATTTCTCCCGACGGCTCCACGACCCTGTTGTACACACTGTTGTGGCGCTGCAGTAGCTTCTTTACTATGACGCTGTCAATCTCCCCTGGAAAAACATAGATTTTCGTGTGCATTGTGTGTTATTTTGTTGATTTTTACCTCCATGAAAAATGGAGGTATTGTTTTTGGAGTGTCTGTCTGTGTGTCTGTGTGTGTTTCCTCAACTTTTTGATCAGCATAACTTGAGAACGCCTTTATGGATTGAGATGATATTTGGTATGTTGGTAAGTCTTGGAAAGACAAAGATCAAGGTCAAATATGGGCCTCCTGGTGGCTGACCTTGATACTGCAGCAGAACTTCCGGTTTTAGTATCCTGAACATGCTAGGTCTTGACTTTTTGGTGACAGATAGCTTTTCCTGTCAGAAATACGTGGTGTGGGTTTGGTCCCCCTAGCAGCTTGTTCTGAAACTGCATGGGACTTTCTGGTGAATTCTTTTAAAGCCTATAAGTCCAGATAGGAACAACTTTAACATATTTTCACCATTTTTGGTATGTAGGTAGCTGAAAGAGAAATGTACATAATTAGATGCAAATTATGCAAATGAAGACCTAATTTGCATAATTGAGAGAATTCTACACTTACAGTGTTTTATATAAAGTACTTTTATACATGTAATCTATGGTTGGTGAAACATTTAGAGATACTAAATATGTTAATGATGACCTAATTTGCATATATTATGTTGAAATGTAGATGTCGTTTGCATAATTAAGAAGGACAAAAACAAAAAAAATATTTCATGG